TAGGACACTAAAGGGGAGAAAATAATCAAAGAGGAAAACAAACCATGTTTAGTAACATAAATAAACAAATATGGCTGGAAGAACAACCCATATCTCAATAATAACCCTAAATGTTAATGGCTTAAACTCACCAATCAAGAGACACAGGCTAGTAGAATGGATCACAAAACAAGAACCAACAATATGCTGCCTACAGGAGACGCATTTGATAGGAAAAGACATACATAGGCTGAAGGTGAAAGGTTGGGAAAAATCATATCACTCATATGGACTTCGGAAACAAGCAGGAGTATCCATACTCATATCAAATAAAATAGATTTCAAGCCAAAGTTAATCAAAAGGGATAAAGAGGGACACTACATACTGCTCAAGGGAACCATACACCAACAAGACATAACAATCATAAATATATATGCCCCAAACAATGGTGCAGCTATGTTCATCAAACAAACTCTTCTCAACTTCAAGAGTCTAATAGACCACCATACAATAATCATGGGAGACTTCAACACACCTCTATCACCACTGGACAGATCTTCCAAACAAAAGTTGAATAAGGAAACTATAGAACTCAATAACACAATTAATAACCTAGACTTAATTGACATATATAGAATATACCACCCAACATCAAGCAGTTACACTTTTTTCTCAGCAGCACATGGATCCTTCTCAAAAATAGATCATATATTATGTCACAGGGAAACTCTTAGACAATATAAAGGAGTAGAGATAATACCATGCATCCTATCTGATCATAATGGAATGGAACTGAAAATCAACGATAAAAGAAGGAAGGGAAAAGAATACATCACTTGGAGAATGAACAATAGGTTACTGAATGATCAATGGGTTATAGAAGACATCAAGGAAGAAATTAAAAAATTCTTAGAGATTAATGAAAACACAGACACAACATATCGGAATCGATGGGACACATTGAAAGCAGTTCTAAGAGGAAAATTCATTGCTTGGAGTTCATTCCTTAAAAAAAGAAAAAACCAACAAATAAATGATCTCATACTTCATCTCAAAATCCTTGAAAAAGAAGAGCAAAACAACAGCAAAAGAAGTAGAAGGCAAGAAATAATTAAAATCAGAGCTGAAATTAATGAAATCGAAACAAAAGAAACAATTGAAAAAATTGACAAAACTAAAAGTTGGTTCTTTGAAAAAATAAACAAAATCGACAGACCCTTAGCCATGCTAGCGAAGAGAAGAAGAGAGAGAACTCAAATTACAAACATACGGGATGAAAGAGGCAATATCACAACAGACACTTCAGAAATACAGATGATAATCAAAAATTATTTTGAATCCTTATACTCCAATAAATTAGAAGATAGTGAAGGCATAGATAAATTTCTTAAGTCATATGATCTGCTCAGATTGAGTCAGGAGGATATAGACAACCTAAACAGACCAATATCAATTGAGGAAATAGAAGAAACCATCAAAAGACTACCAACTAAGAAAAGCCCAGGACCGGATGGGTATACAGCAGAGTTTTACAAAACCTTTAAAGAGGAACTAATACCAATACTTTTCAAGCTACTTCGGGAAATAGAAAAAGAGGGAGAACTTCCAAATTCATTCTACAAGGCCAACATCACCCTGATACCTAAACCAGACAAAGACACTTCAAAGAAAGAAAACTACAGACCAATATCTCTAATGAACCTAGATGCAACAATCCTCAATAAAATTCTGGCCACTCGGATACAAAAACTTATCAAAAAAATTGTGCACCATGATCAAGTAGGATTCATCCCTGGGATGCAAGGCTGGTTCAATATACGGAAATCAATAAATGTTATTCACCACATCAATAGACTTAAAAATAAGAATCATATGTTCATCTCGATAGATGCGGAAAAAGCATTTGACAAAGTACAGCATCCCTTTTTGTTCAAAACTCTAGAAAAACTAGGGATAACAGGAACATACCTCAATATTGTAAAAGCAATCTATGCTAAGCCTCAGGCTAGCATCATTCTGAATGGAGAAAAATTGAAGGCATTCCCTCTAAAATCTGGAACAAGACAGGGATGCCCTCTCTCACCACTTCTGTTCAACATAGTTCTCAAAACACTGGCCAGAGCAATTAGACGAAAGAAATTAAAGGCATCAAAATAGGAAAAGAAGAACTTAAATTATCACTATTTGCAGATGACATGATTCTATACCTAGCAGACCCAAAAGGGTCTACAAAGAAACTATTAGAGCTAATAAATGAATTCAGCAAAGTGGCAGGATATAAAATCAACACGCATAAATCAAAGGCATTCCTGTATATCAGCGACAAATCCTCTGAAATGGAAATGAGGACAACCACTCCATTCACAATATCTTCAAAAAAAATAAAATACTTGGGAATCAACCTAACAAAAGAGGTGAAAGACTTATACAATGAAAACTACAGAACCCTAAAGAGAGAAATAGAAGAAGATCTTAGAAGATGGAAAAATATACCCTGTTCATGGATAGGCAGAACTAACATCATCAAAATGGCGATATTACCAAAAGTTCTCTATAGGTTTAATGCAATGCCAATCAAAATCCCAACGGCATTTCTTGTAGAAATAGAGAAAGCAATCATGAAATTCATATGGAAAAACAAAAGACCCAGAATAGCAAAAAAAAATGCTAAGCAGGAAGTGTGAATCAGGCGGTATAGCGATACCAGACTTCAAACTACACTACAGAGCAATAGTAACAAAAACAGCATGGTACTGGTACCAAAACAGGCGGATGGACCAATGGTACAGAATAGAGGACACAGAAACCAATCCACAAAACTACAACTACCTTATATTTGATAAAGGGGCTAAAAGCATGCAATGGAGGAAGGATAGCATCTTCAACAAATGGTGCTGGGAAAACTGGAAATCCATATGCAACAAAATGAAACTGAATCCCTTTCTCTCGCCATGCACAAAAGTGAATTCAAAATGGATCAAGGAGCTTGATATCAAATCAGAGACACGCCGTCTGATAGAAGAAAAAGTTGGCTCCGATCTACATACTGTGGGGTCGGGCTCCAAATTCCTCAATAGGACACCCATAGCACAAAAGTTAATAACTAGAATCAACAAATGGGACTTACTCAAACTAAAAAGTTTTTTCTCAGCAAAAGATACAATAAGAGAGGTAAATAGAGAGCCTACATCCTGGGAACAAATCTTTACTCCTCACACTTCAGATAGAGCCCTAATATCCAGAGTATACAAAGAACTCAAAAAATTAGACAATAAGAGAACAAACAACCCAATCAACAAATGGGCCAAGGACCTGAACAGACACTTCTCAGAGGAGGACATACAATCAATCAACAAGTACATGAAAAAATGCTCACCATCTCTAGCTGTCAGAGAAATGCAAATCAAAACCACCCTAAGATACCATCTCACTCCAGTTAGATTGGCAGCCATTATGAAGTCAAACAACAACAAGTGCTGGCGAGGATGTGGGGAAAAGGGTACACTTGTACATTGCTGGTGGGACTGCAAATTGGTGCAGCCAATTTGGAAAGCAGTATGGAGATTTCTTGGAAAGCTGGGAATGGAGCCACCATTTGACCCAGCTATTCCCCTTCTCGGTCTATTCCCTAAAGACCTAAAAAGAGCATGCTACAGGGACACTGCTACATCGATGTTCATAGCAGCACAATTCACAATAGCTAGACTGTGGAACCAACCTAGATGCCCTTCAATGGATGAATGGATAAAAAAAATGTGGCATTTATACACAATGGAGTATTACTCTGCATTAAAAAATGACAAAATCATAGAATTTACAGGGAAATGGATGGCATTAGAGCAGATTATGCTAAGTGAAGCTAGCCAATCCCTAAAAAACAAATGCCAAATGTCTTCTTTGATATAAGGAGAGTAACTAAGAACAGAGTAGGGTCGAAGAGCATGAGAAGAAGATTAACATTAAACAGGGATGAGAGGTGGGAGGGAAAGGGAGAGAGAAGGGAAAATGCATGGAAATGGAAGGAGACCCTCAGAGTTATACAAAAGTACATACAAGAGGAAGTGAGGGGAAGGGGAAAAATAATATAAGGGGGACAAACGAATGTCAGTAGAGGGAGCAGAGAGAGAAGAGGGGAGGGGAGGGGAGGGGAGGGGAGGGGAGGGGGGATAGTAGAGGATAGGAAAGGCAGCAGAATACAACAGACACTAGTATGGCAATATGTAAATCAATGGATGTGTAACTGATGTGATTCTGCAATCTGTATATGGGGTAAAAATGGGAGCTCATAACCCACTTGAATCAAATTGTGAAATATGATATATCAAGAACTATGTAATGTTTTGAACAGCCAACAATAAAAAATTTAAAAAAAAATAAAAAAATAAAAAAAATTAAAAAAAATAAAATATTTTCAACTCAAAAAAAAATTCACTGTTATTATTTATGTTGACAATATTTACAAATAAGCTAAGTTTATAAAACTGGAAAATTACTAAATAAGCTTCAGTAGAAGATTTTCTGTTATCATGTTAAAAGATTAAGAAAATTATTTAGACAACAAAGTGATAACATAAAACTAGAGTATGAAATTATGTATACAATAGCGTCCTGTTTTAGGTAGACAAATAAACTCTAAGACACATTGAGGAACAGAAAGAAATAGACTGGAATGAAAAATACAGGAAAACTCTTTATCAGTAATTTTATATAAGCGGTTGATTTAATTTTTAATTTTTAATTTTGTTTATTTTATCCCATCCTCATCTTAGATGTACTATCACTGAAAGGGAAAATAAATTTAACAAAACATCAGGTTTCTATATTTAGATTTTATCAAAATGTAACTGTTTATAAAAGCAATATTTATCCAGAATATAAAACAGAAATCTGTGCTCACCTCATCTCTAACATAAATAACGTGTCATTACCTAAAGCTACACCAGTGTTAATGAGCAAAATTATATATCAAGATGTAAGAAATTGCAATTATGAAATGTTGCCAAATTACAGGAGGGCTTACCTTCACAAAGCTTTTGCTTCATTATTTCCCTTATTTTGGATATGGCGATATAGTCCTCCACATAGAAGACGTATTTTGAGGAAGGCTTGTTGGCAATGGCTCTGAGTTCCGCATCTTCTGTTTCTGATCCAACGCCGATGGCGAACAGTGTTATTTTATTGTCTCTTGCTGCTTCTGCCGCATCCTTGACTTCATCTTGGGATTTGCCATCCGTAAGCACCACTGCTATCTTGGTCAGAAATCGTGAGGATTTGGCAAAAAGGTAATCCAGTGCAAACTGGATGGCCTTTCCGGTCCTCGTGTTTCCTCCTAAGTAGTGGATGGACTCCATGGCTGCTATCAAATTCTCTCCTGAAGCATAACTTCCCAGGGGAATCTCCAGCACAGGGTAGTCGCTATACTGAACCACCCCAACCTGAATAAACTTGGGTCCTATGTCAAAGTTTTTTGTGATATTAACAAGCCATTTTTTCACTATTTCAAAGTTTTCTGGGCCCACACTGTAAGAGCCATCTAAGATGAAAACTAAGTCTGTTGGAGCCGTTCGGCAACCTAAGGAAAAAGGGAAACCATCAGAATGCATTTGTTATATAAAAAACAAAAAGTGTCCTTAGATACATGAAGTTTTGGCTAACATCTTTGCTTGTCTTAAGTAATGAATTAAACATGTTAAGGTTAACGCTAAACTTGAACATTTGTAAAATATAAACTAAGGAATAGGAGAAAAATAAAAACAAATTTTCTGCCAACTTTGACTCAACTAGCTAATATAATTTCATACTATTCTTGTTGGTAAAAGTTAAATGGAACAAAATCACCAAAGCAGTCAACACTTTCACTACATCTAAAATTGGTGTCCAAATGTTAGATCTCTCATCTTCAGCCAATAATGTGGCAAAACATCAACTTAAATGAATCTATATTCAAGGGTATGAAACCATTTCTTTCTCTGTAAACATTTTTATTTTGAGATAACCAGGAAAAATATATAATCTTAAAGTTCTATTAGGAAAAAAAGGTTTTTTGGTGCAAGTTACAGCTAGACAAATTATAAGCAGTTGTGGAAATAAAAAATCTTAACTCTATAGTGTACAACAGTAAGCCTCTAACCCTATTTTGTTCTTTCAGTACCTGATGATTGCAGGTACCTGACATTATGCTAAAGGCACATAAAATCTATCAAAAAGCTCATAGTGTAGTAAGACAGAAAGTGGCTGGTTTAAGAAAGTAAAAAGAATTAAGAGATCACTGAAGAGGGGACCGCAAACTAATTGTAGAGATCAGGAAAGGTTTTATGGGAAAGCTGATAGGCAATATGAGATATGAGTGTTTTAACTAGGTGAAGAAGAGGATATTCTAATGAAAAGGAACAGCAAGTACAAAGGACCAGAGATGACACAGAAACAAACTAGAAGACAAACAGGTTAGTTTAAGTAAACCTAAAAGTTGGGAATGGCCAGACTGCATGGATAGGAACAGCCAATTTGCTTTATCCTTTTATAATTTCTGCACTCAATGAAGCAAAAATAGCTATCATTTTATGTCCCATGATATATGGTTTTAAATTAATTTTTGTTTATATTTGCCACATTTGCATTTAGCATGGGGGAAATTACATCTCCCTGGAGATAATGAGTTGAAAAGGACGAAATGAGAAGTCAGAGTACTATGATAGTAAATTTAAGTCTTTTGATTTTACTCATATTAATACTTTCCATTAAGTAGAGATCAGATTCCCAATTTAAAGTTAAAATAAAGATTATTTATTTTCTGCAAATACTTGCAAATAAGCTACCATAATTGTAAAGTAGGTACTAAAGAAAAATTAATTTGTGAAAATAAGTATTCTTAGTATTTCCCTGTCTCCTTAGTAATAAGTTAAACTCTATATTTCCTATTCTGTTGACTTATCTTCCCTCCCTTCCCTTCCTTTATCTATATCTACTTGCATACTTGGGATGTTGACAAGGCTCACAGGAAGAAGCTCCAACTTTAAAATTATCTTAACTCACTCATAGAAGTCAAAAATAGACTACTGTGAGGTGAATTATATGTAACAGCCAAGAAGTTACAAAAAGTTGTCATTATGTGGATTTGTCACAAAAATTCAACAGTGATTATGACATTATTTGTAACCTGCTATTCTGCAGGTGGTGGTGCCCTCAGAAGGGTGTAACAGACCCAACTCCACCAACCTCTGCCAAAGTTCAGGGCAGGGACCACAGGAATGGAATTTTGCCTAGAGGCAAATTTGAAAGCCCAAGAGAATGCCATTCTTCTGTTAGTTTTGGAAGCCTGATTGGCATTAAAAGGTTATGCTTCTAGTACTTTGTTGGGGGTTGGTGGGGAAACAAGAGGATAGGAAAGATGTGTTTGCAGAGTTCTTCAATGTTGACCCTTCTTAAATACCAAGACTCACTGTCTGAACCTGCTAGTGTTTGTGTGCCACCTGACAAAGATCTTACAAGGTTGGTTGTTCTTGGCCCTCCTTACCCCTCTCCTGTTGGAGCCACAGAGTATGTATTTCATAGCTGTAAGGTTAGCCAAAACTATGAATACAAAAGCAAGTATTGGCATTTATAAACCCCAAAGTACAAGAGACCTCCCCTTTAGAGAGATGAGTAGTGTCATAGGAAAGGAATGGAATTGAAAATCAAAAGTATAGTTCAAATACCAGTTACTGCTCTAACCAGCTGAAAGACACTAAGCCACCTAAATTATAAAGGTCTCTCTTCACCCTCAAAATGTAGAGACAGGTTATCTATCTTGTAGAGTACTTGGGGGAATTAAACATTAATTATTATTGTTTTAATAAATTTGAAGTCAAATTGAATCAAGCTATCAAAACATATGATGTAACTATTATAGAAACTAATTAATATATAGTTGGGTATTTATGAGTTTTTAAATGTGAACATAACTAAACTCTAAAAAAAAGTATGTTATCTATACATAATGGCCTCTGTAGCAGAACTACAATTATTACAATTCTTTGTCTCTAATGCAAGCTTGCTCCTAGGCAATAAGAACATGGTCACCATTTACTGAGATGTCACTATACTGAGCCATTTACATGCATCATTATCCCATTCAGTCCTGGTGATCACCTAAGAAGCATGAGCTTTATCTCCATATTGGCAAAGCTCAGAGGTTGCTGAACATGGACTCCAAACCAGACTGGGTATTCCAAAGCCCAGTGCATTATGAGGATAAGGTATTAACACAGAGTAACTTCCAAACTACCTCTGAGAGAAGCTCTTCCTCTCAGCTACATAGCAATTCATTTATCTTAGGGAATTATAGCATCAAAGACAATAAGAATAAGATCCTTAAAACTACTCCTTGAACTCCCAATATTTGATTTACAGAATCAAAATCTGTTGATAACAAAAAGAGACAATGCTGAAATCTCTTACTTGATCTTATTTCCCCATCTTCAGCTAATACAAAATTCTGAAGAAGCAGAACAAGAACTATCCAAAGAAATGTAATGTGATGAGCCATGTTTATTTTCAATTTAGTATTTTGGTTTTAGGATTCCTGAAAGGAAAAAATAAATAGATGTATTAGATAAGTGAAGATAAACATGCAATTATTGTACATTTAAATTTAAATTAACTTCATGACTTTAGAATTTAGATGGGTCTAAAATAGACAAAATTTAAATATTTTAATACAGGGAGACAATCAATAGGGGCTGAGAAAGACCACGATAAATCTTTTAATTCATAATCGTCTTGGAAAAATATAAGCTCTGTCTAAAACTTTGAGCTTTGTTTCAAATTTTTATTAGAAATTCTCCTTTGCATAAACCCTGTGAAACATTTTTATGTTCTTTTTAATACCTAAATGGTAGCAAATATTCCTTTAAATATGAATTGGCATTTTTAAAAAATAGTCCAAGGTACCTGGTAAAGATATCTATATGATAAAATAGAGTTAAATTAATGTAGAAAATGAGATATTAATTATAAACATTAAGAAATATTTTATCTGATTCATAAACACTCATTTATTTGACTTTAATATACCTTCTAAACATCAGTTCAAGGACTTTATTTCTGGCTAAAATGTGGAAAATTTCAGGATATCATCATTACAATCATGAGAACACACCAGATAAACCACAGACCCGCAATCTTTAACCCAGAAGCAAGAAGAGGATTTAAAGAAACCTAAATGAACTAACATACAGAAGTTACTGCTTTCATTCCTGACAGAGAATCCTCCAGAAGAGAAGGAGTTTGACAAAGCATGAGAAAAATCACTCAAAATTGGTATGTCAGATTGGAATTCAGATTCGAATCCTGAGAAGCCCCAGTGACAGAAAGAATAAATCCTCATGCAGCATGTATTCCCCATGAGCCTAAGCTAAACGCAGAGTAGATGGGAAGTACATGGACTGTTTAGAAGTTAGAATAGCCCACAGAGGCTCTCTCCCATCTTCCCACTGTGCAGATGACCAGAGATTTCCTCAAATACAAAGCAGAGGTCTGCTGAAATCTGTAGTAGGAGCAAAAAGACAGAGAGGAATACCTCTAAGGCCCTCCAGTCCTGCACTATAGCAAGGAGAGCTCAAAAAGCAGAAAGCCAAGAGGATTAGAAAAACAACTCCAGAAATCTGAAGAGCTAAAAACTATACAGACAAGCTGAAAGAAATCCCCTTTGACCCAAGATTATGAAATTTTGATTTCTTGGGGAAAAAACATTCTGTATTCTCAAATGCAGAGATTATCTAAATATCAGAAGTACCAAATAGGGTTTGTAAAATAGCTATGATAAATATGTTAAAGGATCCAGTGAGAAAACGAACAACATGCAGAGCTATGAGAAATTCAGAGGAGAGATGACAATTATTTTAAAAGGTCCAAACAGAAACACTTGCAATGAAAAATACATCAGAGAAGAATTCACGCAACAGACTTACCTGCATATACCACAGTGCAATGTCAGTAACTTGAAGACAAGTCAGTATAAATTATCCAAAAATGAAACCCTAAGAAGAAAAAAAAATAATAATGCTAAAAGGAATAGAGCATCTGAAATTTGTGAGACAGTACCAAATGCTTTTTATTTAGCATACAGTAATTAAATTTTCTTCAGAGAGAAAAAGGGTAATAAAAAAAAGTTTGAAAAGATATGGCCAAAAATTTTCTAAGCTACCATCTCAAATCCAAAAAGTTCAACAAACCCCAAGCAAGAAACAAAATGAATCACCTCTAGATACATCATAATCAATCAACTGAAAATCAAAACAAAAGAAAATTTCTAAAATTGGTTAGAGGGGAGGAAATTACATTATAATACACAGGGGACAGCAGCAAGAATTTTAGATTGATATTTCACAGTCAAGAATTGGCAATCAGAAACTATAAAAAAATCCTAAATATGTGGATATCTAATATTAAAACATCTGATTATTTGGAACAAAATATGAAAACAACAAAGAAATAGACACACTGAAAAATAACATGAAGCTTTAACATTCAGGACTCAGCAAATATTACATTAGACAAAGAATACGGTAATGGCATAGAAGATTTGAACATTATCAATTATCTTCACCTCACTGCCATCTGTAGAACTTCCTCTCTGATGATAGCAAAGTACACATATTTTTGAAATGCCTATGGATTAGTCACCAAAAAAGACCATATGCTGGGGGGCTGGACATTCCAAAAAAAAAAATTAAAATCACACAGATTATGTTCTTGACCAAATGATGTTAAATTAGAAAATACTGGTGAGGCTATCTGGACCTAGAGTTTATTTTTAGAAAGGTTTTTTGATCAGGTTCATTTTATTCAATAGATAACTGAATCAAATTCAAGAGTTGAATTTTTTAATCAAAACCATTCCACGAAGAAAACCACAGGTCTAGACAGCCTTGCCAATAACTTCTTTCAAACATTTACTTAAATGGTCAAAATCAAAATCATTGAGTGAAATTAAATAAAAATAGAGGAAGGGTGAATTTTCCCCAACTTTTTTATCATAAGGCCAACTTAACCCTAAATTGAAAACTGGTCAAATAGAAGAAAACTGTAGTCTACTATTCTTCATGATCATAGATGTAAAAATCTCAACAAAAATAAGCAAATCAAGTTTAGCAATATATACAATAATGTCCAAGTAAAATTTATCACAGAGATATGATTAAGACTTAAAACTGAACATATATAATTTACTAAAGGACTAAAAAAAATCATAGGTGCATTCTGATTTGTGCGGCAAAACATTTAACAAAATTTAACACTTAATTCATGATAAAACTTTCAGCAAAATAATAAAAAGAAACTTAATATGATAAATGCCTTCTATGAAAAATCTAAAGAAACAGCATATTAAGAGGTGACATATTGAGTAATTTGTCCCAAAAATCAGTGGTTAAAGATATATTCTCACACCACATCTATTTTAAAAATGTATAGGGAGTCCTGGTTGGGGCCATAGGCAAAAATTAGAAAATAAAAGATGTGAAGATTATAAAAGAAAAAATACAACTGATTTTATTTTCAAGCATATATTATCTACACAGAAAATTCTTTGGACAGGTTGTCCTGGTAGCACACACATATAATCCCAGCTACTTGGGAGGGTGAGGCAGGAGGATCGCAAGTTCAGGGCCAGCCAAGGCAATTTAGTGAGACCCTGTCTCAAAAATAAAATAAAAGGGGCTAGAGATGTAGCTCAGTCATACAGTGCTTGCCTGTCATGTGTGAGGCCCTGGGCTCAAGCCCAGTCCTGGAAAAAAAGAAAGAAAAGAAAAATATTTTGTTTCTACCAAAAGACTAGTAGAACTAATGAGTTAATTCAGCAAGGTCATAAGACATGATTAATATTTTTTTTCAGTAAAAAGATAAACCAACCACAAAATTGGAAGAAAAATTTAATACTGTTTTTAATAGTATTAAAAGTATCACAAACCTATAAATATGGCTAATTAAAAATGTAAGAGATCTAACCTGTTGAAATTTTAATGACTAAATAAATGTAATGATTCATATTCATGTATCCATACAATTTCCATTCCCCTCAAATTATACATTCAATAAAATCCCAAAAAAGAAGTTCAAAAATTTATTCTAAAATTTACAGAAAATGCAAATGGTTTTGAAATTACAGTCTTGATTTAGAAGAACTAAATTGGAGAATTTGCATAATCTGATTTTGACTTAGTATAAAACCACAACAATTAAGAAAGTGTGGTATTGGTATAAGAATAGATGTAGAATGGAGCACAACAGAGCTCAGTAATAGACCCACACTTACATGGTCAATCTATTTTGAACAAAGGTGCCAAGGTAACTGAATAGGAAAGTGTTTTCAATAACATTGTGTTGGGTCAACTCAATAAAATGAACCTTGACCCCAGCTTATTTCCTACAGAAAAAAATTAGATGGAGTGTAGTTCCAAATACAAAAGCTAAAGCTATAAGGCTTCTCAGAAGAAAACATCTTCCTGACCTTAGAATTAGGCAAGTACTTCTTAGGAAACAAATCATTAGCAAATATTTTTAAATGGGTGCATGAGATTTCACCAAAATTAAACATTTCTATTTTCCAAAGGCATTATTAAAAAAAAGTAAGCCAATATTCAGGTTAAACGCTTATGAAAAATGATACATATCCAGATTTTATATAAGATACATATAAATGCACACATATATACATATTTAAATTCTACAAAGTTTTTTCTTCTAAAAGAAAAACAACCTATTTTTTTTCAATTGGCAAAAGATCTTTAATAAACATAGTATAAAAAAGATACAGAAATGTCTAATACACATTAAATGACATCCATCATAATTAATCATTAGAGAAATATATACATTGAAAACAGAATAAGATGTCATTTCACACCTACAAAACTGGCTAGAAAGAAAAGACTGACAATATCAAATACATTAAAAGATTTTTGGAGAAACTGGAACTCATATGTTGTTGGTGAGAGTGAAAACTGATATAATCACTTTACAAAATTGTTAGGTACGGTTTCTTACAAACTATGGCCAGAAGTTCTTTCATGCTAAGTGTATAACCTAGAAAAATGAAATTGCATGTATACACACAGAAAAAATATTTAATAATGTTTTACAGTAATTTATCCATAATATTCCCAAACTAAACATAACTCAAATGCTAGAAACAAGTTCTGTAACATATTCAGACAATGGGATACTACTCAGCAATAAAAAATTAACCACCAAACAACGTGAATTAGTTTTAAATACCTTCTATTTCATTAATTAAGCCAGACACCAAAGAATACATTCAGTTTGATTCCAGTTAATGAAGTCCCCAAATAGGCAAAACTAACCTATAATATTAGATGTCAAGTAATGGTTGCCTTGGCTGGCAGAAGGTAACTGGAAAATAGTACAAGTGAACTTGCTGGTGATAGAAATATCTTCTTTATGGCATCAATATTCAGGTACATAAAATTGTGTAAGTCCATTAAACTAGATGCTTAACATTTGTATGATCAACATACACAAACTATACCACAATGAAAAGCAATCTATCCAAAAGAATTAATGTCAAATTAGACAGAGTCCTCTACACAAAGAGCTAAGAAGGTCAAAAAATATACATGAGAAACATTTTTGGTAGGCCATAACCAGAATATGCTATTTCATGGCAATGACACATACTATCAAATATTGTCTAACTTCATCCTCAAAAGTCTCAAAATTTAGTCATGGTTCTTCTATCAAAATTATCCCCAGTATTTCTATATAATATCAAATTCATTAGAATTCTTGGACTAATGTTAATTCCTTAATGTTGCTATACTCAGGATCAACAGCAATTGAAATAGAAGACAGAAAATACATTAAAGGTATGTTATTATAATGTTAATCATTGAAACAAATTGGTTTCATAAATGTTTACAGACATTTCATTGTCTATGTGCTTATGTACAGTTCATATAAAGTTCTACTTATCAGATTTGAGCATTGACTTGAATCCTGGTTAACTTGTTACACACTGATGCCTAGACTGACCTGATAGCTTCAGGTTATTGGGCAAGACCCAAGCATTGTTTAAGAATAAATAGTGCTCCCCATATGCCAACATTCCTCCAAGTTCTAGGAATTCTTGCATAAGACAATGCACAAATGATAACTAAGGAAAACTTCTATGGTTCTATTCCCTTGGTAGAGAAGTCAGCTAGTAGCCCAAAAAAGAATTTCCACAAACAAAAAATGCTAAAGTATTCTTACTCAGAGTGGCTGGGTGACCTTTAGCAACCTCTTTTCTCAAACACTAAAATATCTGAAAATCACCTAGAGATCTTATTTAAATACACAGTCTGATCAGTGGGTTTGCTTCATAGCTGGGGAGTTTTTCATCATAACAGGGTCTGGGTGACTCTGATCCTGCTGAACTTCTGACCACATCTCAAATAGTTAGGCTGTAAAAGGCACTTCAGTTTTTGTCTTTGGTAGTTTTCTCCCCAAACTAAAAATAATGTTGAGATTTCTACAATGATAGCAACAGAATCCCTAGCTTTAAGAGCTACACCCCACTATTTATCTTTCTGAAACAAATGCAGTGGTGGGGGTAGGGAAAGGGCCACAATTCTGACCTCAGGAGCAAGAACCAAAAATACATTTAGTCTATGTCAGTAAGAATATCAATAAAAAGGAGAAACAACACAAAATAAATAAAACTATTTTTATTTCTAAATGCAACAGGAGCCATTATAACAGATACCACTGAAAGGTAAAGAATCACGAGACCATTATGGAAAACAAGAAGCCAACAAATAGAATAAACTAAAAATGGATCAATTCTTAGAAACATACAACCTAACAAAACCAAATGGTGATTAAATAGAAAATTGGGGTATATCAATAATGAGTAATGAGATTGAATTAGTAATTAAAACCTTTCGACCATAAATAATCCAGGATCAGATGCCTATAACAAACACTTAAAGAAGGACAAACCCCAATTTCTCTCATACTCGAAGACCTGTAGCTCACATTG